AATGACAGCTAAGAGAAAAACCAATATTAGAAATTGAATACTTGAAGGATAAGCAATGCAAACAACTATTGCACCCGCAGATAAAATTTGAGTTATTAGGGCTAGAAATGAAAATATTTTGTGAAGTATTTTTTGCTCTCGACCGTGATCATATTCGTCAGAAATATCTTTGTCATTTCACTCTATTCCTGGGATTCCGAAGATAAGATGATGTAGTTTTGATTTTCAACAAGCAAGTCACTGTAAGTTTGTCAGGTAGTTTGAAATATTTATGGATTCTAAAGTAGAAGATAACGAGAATTCGCTCAAAGATAGTAGTATGAAATACGGCACAGAAACCTTTCATACACCAGCAGAGAATTGTTATATAGTATTAGAAAACTGCCCGAAACCCCAACTTTCTAGTTACTCTAGTAATCATACAAAAGTAATTGTCTTCGGCAATACAGCAGATATTACCTAAAATCGACGTTAAGTCATCTTGTGTAACATGGAGTCAAATCACGTTTATGAAAAACGTTCAGGACTCCCGACTTTAACACCAGAGACGAACTTCATGAGCTTTGAAGTATGACAAGATCGAAGCCCATGCAACTATTCATTGGCAGTCACAAGTTACTCTGATTGAATACTCCTTCAGAATCCATTCATGTCCATGTGCTATACTCAGTTAATAGATATTTTCACAAGGGTTATATAACCATATCATTAATACAATGTTCGTAAATAATACTGTTCCTAAGTTCATGGTTGCATATTCTGGAATATTTTTATTTTCAGCCTATAAAATTCACATTGATGTACATATAAACATCTCTTAATGTCCGTTCGTAGTTCTCTTTAACTTCATTAATCTTCACTAATGAGAGCCATTACATTGTTATGACCTGAAGTTGTAAGCAGCTAACGATAAAAAAACAATGGTGAATTAACGTTATTCTGCCATACTTTATGTTCTTTTTTGGGTCAGGTAATCAGAATATATTGCAATTTGGTTTCTCAGAGCTTTCAAAAGGGAACCCTTCATCGATTTTTCGTGCTGGGTACCACTTGATATCGAGGCGTAGCCGAAATTTGTACCGACTGACTCGGGTAGTGTGATTGTAGTCCACACAAATAAATATCACACTCACAGACGTTGTTAATAAGCTTTCTGGGTCGTAACGGATACGTTTCACGACCGAGTTGTTTACACTGTTAGATCAATCAATGTTACTCTTTGAAGGTTTACACTATGTGTTAGTTACTCATCGATTTACACCGATAAGGTATTTTATCCATCTACCTACAGGTAACTAAGAATTAATAGAATAAAGCCTTACAGGCAAAGTTTTCTTTTCAATGACGTCGTTTTCTGATGCTGCATAATCGAATTCAAAGTTAATTTTTAAAATTTTTGTCATACAGCAATCCATAGTGAAATATAGGGGCTTCATACAATTATAAGAATAGTGAATATTATAAAAATGGAGACCAGTCAAAAAAGTGTCTTTGATGTTGGAAACAATACATAGGCCGCTTTAATTTTGTCTTAGTAATGAAAACTCATATTAAGACCGTCATACACGAACTAAGTTTAGATGACAGGACAAAACACTAAGACAAAAGTTTACAGTAGATTCAGCAGTCGCTCTTTTAACATTTTCGCATGCACAAAAGTAAAATATCACATAGGTTTAAAAAGGGCTGGTATGAATCAGGTTATTCATTTACATTCTCTCCCTGACAGTACGATACAGTTGTAGCGCAAAAGAAGACTTCACTGAGACTGAGTTAAAAGTCGCGCTAAGAGAATGATGAGAAACAATATTCATGTGAAAATATAATTCCTTTTGTTCTTGTCACTTGCCAGGACATGCGATTGTTTATACATATGGCAACAACTGACGTGCATTTCCAAAAGTGACGCTCAAATGAGCAGTTATTCTAGTTTTCTTGTTCCTACTAGGTTTCTGATTTTATTGGCTCATCTAGTGATCTGCTTCTGCTCAGTTTTAAATGATGTTAGTGTTTTGATTTAAACAATGGTCTTTCAGGGTAGGAAATCACAAAAGAACGGGATATCTTTCAATCAGTTAGCCGATGAATATTACGAGTAGGACTTTATCCATTAAAGTTACTCCAGATACATTACTTCATTTTCTCTTTCTGTTATATTGTTGCTGCTGGAACTTATAGGATTTGTAAGTGGAGCTACAATGTTCATAAATGTACATAATGTTATATGTAAGTCAGAAATACTAAAACAAACGTCTATGTAGCTATTTCTTGTCATTTTTCTGGTGTAATACTAACTGCTCACTTTATAATAAAATGCTGGAAGATAAGTTCCTACTGGTACAGTTTTGCATTCACCATATGTTTACCACTGGTTTTGGAATGTTGGAACGTCATGTCGAAAGTTTGGTTCAGAAACAGTTTGTAATAAAAGTTACTTATAATATGCGACTACTTATTAAATGTTCATTTATTGTCTTCACGCAGCAATATTGGATGGGCAGAGTGAATTCAGTGATATTGTGAATGGTTTCATAGTTTCTCCGTTTTTGTGTTTGCATTCACCTAACGTTTAACCACACCAATAAAGCCAATCTGTGATTACCTTTAATCATGAGTCTATTCAGTTTGGATGATCGGTTGGAGTTCTTGTAGACAAGAAGTCATATTTGGGTTTTTAGAGAAATTGTCTTTTATATACGCTTAAAAATTGTGACAGCTAACAATAAGTTCATTTATATTAGAAGAATCGATAAAATTTTGAGTATTTTGCACTAATTTCCGAGTATCTGGAGGTCTGAAGGATGTTTCGTGACTTTAATCTAAGTCAGAGTAACACGTACAAGGACAAAGCAATACAAATATAGGCTCTTGAAAATTCGTTAGTCAGAAACTTTCTCCTAGTATAATTTAATGAATAACCGTACAACAAACACACCTAGTTTAGTTACTGTGATATTACGAAGCAGATACCAAATCATTCATAGTCCAAATTAAATCTGGAATAAAGGTGCGTCAGCCTAAATTACTACGTCACCTTGGTACGAGATGGAATTATCAAAATGAACTTCAAACGAATCAAGATAATAATAGTATCAGTTACGTTAAATTAGATAAGTAATGAAAGTACGGTTCGAAGAGATTCCATGCAGATATACGCCAAAAAAATTAGGGCCAAATACTTAGAGGAATATAAAGAGTTAATGGGTTGGTGACCAATTCTTGGCCTTTTCACTCAGTATCTCTAACTACTTAACGTAATTACCGCTCACTGTCAGATATTCGGGAATAAGTGAATAGAGATAAAACAAAACCACGGTTCTGGGCAAAAGATAATCCAGCCGGGTAAACTGGTTCTCAGCAGTACTACAACTAATTGGACAGCAAGTGGCTATCAGGACTCAGTCGCTAAGTGGATAACACGATGGCGTTTGAAGTGGACAGTACTGCGTTCGAGTTCCGGAGTGAACATCAACTCTGAGATGCAGGTACATCCAGCTGGCGAGTCCCAAATAGGACGAAAAGCGTGTCCTGGATTCTACTGCTAGCCACTATCCATCTTTGCTCATAGAGGGATTAGCTTGACTAAAATACTAGTCTCAATAATTGTCGGACGCCTAACTAAGACTCGTGAACTACAAACACGAAAAAAATCAGGCTGGCTTCAGACGTTCTCGTCAACTGAATTTTCGGGCATTGATCTCTTACCACGAGGTCCGCCAATCGACTTAGAGTACGCAGATAATATAGTTCTGTTTGATGAAGGGGCTGATAAAATGCAGTCTTTTGGTAGCACTGAGCAACAATGCTAGAATGTTTGGGATGCGCTTTTCTCCCTCTAAATGCAAGTTGTTGCATCAGGACTGGTCTGCGTCATCACCTGAACTAAGGATAGGGAGTAAAGTAGTCGAACGCATTGACAACTTCACTTATCTTGGATGTCTGATCAGACCTAATGGGTTGGTGTCTGAAGAAATCTCTGCACGGATTCGAAGAGCTCGTTTGGCTTTCGCCAACATACGTCACCTATGGCGAAGGCGAGATATCCGTCTATCAATTAAGAGACGAATATACTGCGCAGCAGTTAGTTCTGTTCTACTTTATGGCTGAGAAACGGTCATTAAGAGCAGGAGATACTCGTAAGCTACAAGTATTTGATGACAGATACCTTAGAAATGTTGCTCGCATTTGCTGGGATCACCGGGTAAGCAATAGTGAGATTAGATGCAGGGTATTGGCATCTTTTATATATTACCACCATTGAATTAACTACTTAGGACTATGAGGGCATAATCTAATTGTATTCTGTTGCCTAACTTGTCGTAGGTTAACTATCATTATTGGAACTTTGTTTTTTTTAAGGCATCTGGTTAAATGTAGTATTCTGAGGAGAAACTCAAATAGAAAAGCATGAAGCTTTCTAATGATCTTATTTCTCAGGCTTTCGAAGTCGCCTGCCACGAATGTGTCTTATTCTTCACCATGCATGCACTATAGCCTTAGGTATTTGATTGCATAAAAAGACATACTTATCAGGCAAAATGAAGTTTTTGTCCATCAGAGATAATGAATGGTGCCAAAAATATTTTATTCTCTATTTAGACTAAATCCCAATGTGTAAGGTTTATAATCGGTAAATTTTCATTTGCTCTCCCTTAATACTCATTTGAATAAACACATGCATGAGTTTGGGATAGGTTAACTGTGAATATTACAAGACGGGTTAACACACTCCTGCAATCTATATAGTTTTACCTGTGTATAGGATGGAAAGGCTTTTCTTATCAATATCAGAAATTATAAATACTATTTTTAAACATTTACAAGTACTCAGTAGATATTGAACTAAACATTAGTTGGTGTGACACTTCATAGATTCATCGACCAACTGGCAGGAATCGGTAATACTTAGTCATTAGGATCCTATTCAACTTAATTCGGCTTCGATCATAAGAAACGCAGGACCTCCCCCTTTCAATTAAGGATGAATGAACTAACACTTACTTCTTTAGCAAAAGTGAAAACTTAGCAATTGTATACTCCATCATACATGAGAATAAATCATCACATTAAAATATCAAATGAAAATATGATCTTAAATCAAAATAAACAACAACAACAAAGAAATATGTAGGACATGTGAAGAAAGTATGTGACAAATTGAAAAATGAGAAAAGATTTAGAAAGAATGATAGAGGTAATGCATCGATGTATTCTCTTCTTATAAGCTATAAATATAATGGTATAAGTAAAAATAATTTTAGTTTCATTTTATTACAATTTACATTAGATTCATTGAATTTTATGCCAATTGTATATGTTTTCACTTATAGTAGATAGAAGAAGTCTTAAAGCTTTAAGCCAGACTATACATTGACGTAAAAGAAAGAAAGAGAAGTAACCTAGCAGTTTAAAAATAAGTATAACTGGTTACACTAAGATTCCTAAATGATTATTCAATAGTAATAATCATAATAATAATGTGAGTATATTCTTTGTATGTGTAGTTCCAACACAAAATATACATGCAGACATGATATTATTGAAGACATGCATTATAAATACAAATTTGTTAATGGTTCCGTCATGAATAATGCCATTATTTAGAAAAAAAAAACGAATAGATTAGTGAACAAATTGACATTCGTTAAGGCAACAATACAAACAATCTGTATCAGAGAGAAAGAAAGAAGGAAACCAAAAAGGATTAATTAAAATTTGATTTTCTTTTCATTTATTATTACCAATAATTATACAGTGCTAATATAAATTTCAGGTGATGCTATTTCAGCAGTAGATAGTTCCATGTGATTTTCAATTAAAGATAATTCCATTAAATTAAGTTGTTTAGTTATCACAGATGAATCCAATGTATCATTTATATTCATTTGTGTATGGGATTGTAATAATTGTAATTGAACTGGACATGATTTCATTTTAGATACTTCTTCTTTTCTATCTACATCATTATTATTATCATCATTATGATTATCCTTGTCATCGTTATCTTCTTCATCAGTAGTTACATGTCCATTAGATATAATATTTGGATAGTCAATATCGGGTGAAAGACATTCTTGTAAACCTATATCATTTGTTACAGCATATGGCATACAACCACGCTAACGAAAAAGAAAAAAGGAAAGTAATAGAGGGGAATGAAATATGGCTTAAAAATATTTCTACTTTCACTTCATAAAAATGACGTCATTATGTATACATTCAGTGAAATGGTTAAAACATGTGTTACCTATGCCCAACCATGGTCTACCTTGATACACGACATTCGCCGGTGTAGGAATAAATTTAGGGGTGATCAAAGAAAGATAAAGGGATCAGTCAGTGAAATTATTGACTGACATAAGTTGGCATATGCACATTACGTGGTTAGAGTTTGTGAAAGTATTGTAACCAATGATTGAAAATATTGGATGACATTAACTTATAATCGGTAGTATACTCGCTTTTCCTTCTCACTAGATTTTTGGTTTTAAAATAATACTATACCCTTTTTATTTTACGAATTCACTGCATTAAAATCATATTGTTTACATTCAAACTTGCTGATGTGGTGTGAAAAATTGGAACGATGTAAATATGTGTTAGGTTTTACGCCATTTGCGATGCGTGGTATCTAAGTTTGGTAATGATGCTCAAAAGTCCTTATACGCAAGTCCCTAATGGGCTACTGAATGAGAAGACTCAGATTGAAGAAGTAAGTTTATTGAGCTTAAGAGAATTAAATTTAAAAGCATACCTTAGAATGAATCTATTTCTTCGCCAATAACATGCATTTAAGATTGGAAGGTTTTTGATTGACAAAACATAACCATTTCACTTGGAAGCCTTTGATTGGTTCATTGTATCAAATTTATTGTCACGCTCTTAATCAATTAAAAATCTAAAATATATACTGTTAAATATCACCCCCAAATCTCTCGGTTGAAGGTGGAGAGAGTCCACTCACCCTCTCAAAATACTCTCATTCAGGTGGCCATGTGTATGCATCCACTGAAAGGGAAGTCCTACTCACTGCCTACTTGCGGTGGGGTGTTGTTTACGAAATTGAGAGGACGGAAATCGAATTTCCGGTGCTTTCAAAGATTTAGTGAATACGGGGGATCCACCTAGGGGAATTGGAAGACCGTGATTCCAAACCAATGGTACACATCGGCTCCAAGATCCTGAGGGAACAAAAGGCGTATGGACCTATTGTTGGTTACCACCTACAATGGGACTGCATCTCCAAAAGTTGCTCCACTGCCTTGTGGATTAAACCTCTACGTCAAGGGCTCGAGGAGCGACTCTCTGAGAAAACCACGTGCTTCAGTTTGGGTGCCTGGACAGAATTTCAGCCCTCACAAATCAAATGATTTGTGTTGCGAGCATATGTTTTGTGCCGCCTTGGACCAATGTTTACGTCTTTAAATAAGTAGTAAACAAGTATCTATGTAATTAATTTATAAATCACAATCATATTTACTCAACTTTGGGTTAAACATTCCGTATGTGTGTGGGGGACGTTTTATAACATTATCCGTTTTTTTCTAAATCGAAGTACATAACGCTTGAGATTTGATATTATAATTAAATTATTACTAAAAATCGATAACATTACCGGACAATACGTAACTGCTTTCCACAACTCAGTAGACTACACTGGTTCGATTGAACAATGTAAATCAATGCAACTAGCGACGACAAACTCGGTCACAATAAATCTAATTAAATTACTGTTCAAATTTATAAATAGAATCCAGTCTTTACAATTGACTGATCATTGAGTAGTGATCAATGTCATGTATGTCAGGTCCTTCTTAGTTCAGATCGAATCCTATCGACTAAGTTGAAATGTGGCCACTAGTATAGGTGACTAGACATTGAGTGTACTATGTTGAGATAAGATGGTGGTTGTAGATAGTCAACAGGAAACCCTGGACCTAGGTTTCGTGCTATTTGGCACTCGTCACAGCAGGGTGTATTTGTAATCTTGTGGGAACTGATGCTCACTGACAGATTCGATCTCGTGTCACCCAGCTTCATAGTCCAATTTGACTTTACATGTATATAAGTAAACAAAATGACACAACCATATAATTTTACTTCCATATTCGTCGTCAATCCATAACGTTTAACAGATATATTAGAGACAACTACCATGTATCCAAGAGCAGCATATATCAACAGTCATGTAACTTCAATAACACAATTCAAAAATAAACTCTACTTTATATCATTTTTTTTCTAGGTTCATTTAATCCTTTCTACTAGCCTAGATTTATCTAAGTTAGACCACCTAAATTATACAATTATTGTCCAAAATCTTACAATATTACAATCCCCCGTTGTTGCCTGTCAGTGATCTCAATTTAGAACATTTCAGGTAGAAGGTACTATAATAACACTGACAAAAGTCAACAGAATTATATATAAATGAAGATGTAAATAAATCATGGATTTAAGTGTAAACAATACTGGTATGTGAGAAATGATTCAATATACCAAGAAGTTATATAATAATAATAACGAAGAACATGTCAAGAAAAATAAGGCTAAATATGGTAGATTCTCTTTGCTCTCATTTATACAATACAATACAATACACATCACTAACATATACAATAGTATGCATAGACTGATAAATTTAGAAACCATTAGAATACACAACCACCTACTGATGTATGAAAATTTTAATAAGTGTACCACTTGTAAAATTTAATAAAACCCGTTAATCAGTAGGTTATATATATGATACAGGGTTGCAGCTCAAATGGATGCTTTCGGTGATGTCGTGTTTTCTGTGTCACGGGATTTAGTTGTGAAGCTCTAATTATCATTCTGCACGTTTATCTAAAAATCCGTTACTCAATAGGTTATATATACATATATATCACTATGAAGAGAAGACTGATTAACGACTCAATATTTTGATGTTTTATTTAGAAGTAAAGCAATGTAAAAAAAATCCACACCTAAAGATCAATTAGTCAGTCAGTCAGCTACAACGTAGGACTAGGCATATATATGCATCGATCCAAGTTACCATAACTCATTAGCATAACAAGATGAACACAGAATTCATAGAACTGGTTAATTCAGTGGTGGTAATATATAAAAGAAAGATTTCATATAAGGATATAGTACGGGAGGAAATAATTAGTTGGTAGAAAGAAAGATAGAAAACATTTTTTACCTCACGCTTAAGGGAAGACAGTGAGTGTATACACCTAACGTCATTGTGATCAATTCTGAGCCATGTCACACACAGTCTCCAATCACAAGTTACGATAATCACGCTGAGCCTAACCAAGTAGTCTTCATCTGCCAACATGGCTCAGACTAGAAGTTAGTGACTCCAAGGGCTGATGCCACGTTTTGTTTTGGCCGCCACTAACTCTCTTCTAACCATCCCCTACACTAGTCAGCATTGCGCGTCGTGGCAAACGGTGATGATGATTTTGTAAACATATCGAAAACACAAACAAATCCGTCATTAACCCACGACATCATCATCGTCTTCACTACATCATATCACAACAGATAGCAGTAAAATTTCGAAGATGAAAGATAACAAAGTTAAAAAACATAACGTAACTATAGGTAGTAAGAAATAGTCAGGAAATCGAAATAAAGCAAATATCATGAAAGAGAGGAGTGAAAAAAAAGAGAAGAAAACATCACAGAGTAGTAAAGTGTTTGCAAGTTAAAGGAAAAATACGCATCAAGATTCTGGGATGTTCTTTCAAAAGATGATCGGATGAAATATCTTCGGCTATTTCCGAACTTCTTAAAGCTTCCTTGAGTTTAACCCGGGAGCCGTCCTCACACTCTCTCTACTGAATATTGGTTATAATGATTACGTGATTTTTTGTATATGTAAAGTTTCAGAAAAATAGTTGGTGTCAAATACTTTTAGTAGAAATCATAATCAACGTACAAACTGCCACAAATGTATGTTAGCCCATGTTGTCATACGATGGTAACATGATCAGATGAAATTAAAAAGATAAATAGGTAGAAGAGATTGAAATAGCTGTGATCGTAATGATCACAAGAAAGATTAAACATTGAGAATGAGATTAGAGAAAATAAAATGAAAAGGTATGTATGAAAATATGCTGAAATTTAAGATCTATAAGAATGTGAATGCATCTGAACTATTGAGACTTATTATGAATTATGTCACATGACATTCCCAAGTAATGTTTAATGGAGGCGTTTTATGGAGATCATACTAATTTGAAGCTCGTGTTCGTTATGGATTGGTCTCATTTAAGATAACATTGGGAACAGTTGTCTTAAACTAGTACAGTTCTCACTCAAGAAATCGCCGGATATAAAACTTAATGTGAATACTACCTACACATTATGCTAATCTTTATCAGAACTATAGCCTTGCGCCCATTAGTGACTGACCGGAATAAATTCCTTATGTTTTTGTGAGGATTCGTCACCGGTGAAGTTCGATTGTGTCACACAGGAAGAAGTTATCACTAGTACCATAGGATGGTTATCATGGTATGTCCAGAATTCATTGAAGTTGGAAATATGTACGACTGGATATCAAACTTGCAATCTATTTGTTAAACATTCATCCAGAGGCTAGAAGATTCCAGATTAGATCTTAGGTGTGCACTACTTGTAATTTTTATACCACAATGAAATAGGTATCTGGTGCTTTCTGTTTCTCAATGGCAATTTAACTGAGAATAGTCCGTGATGGACAACAATTATTGTTCAGCGAATCAACAAATAAATAATAAGCAATATTTTGTACTTCGTAGCAGATGTGTGAAAATGTGCTACACAGTTATATGCGTTCTCACAAGACTAATTGTAAATAACAAACTATGTTTGAGACGTTATTCTATAAACAATAATCACGTGCAAGAGTGATTTAATCATTCGATTCCCAATTTTTGAGTAGAACATTTAGAGCTTTGATTAATCACCGAGCAGTGACCAGTGTATGTTTGTCTAATCCGGACTGGAGAATCGAATTCTATTAATCAAGTTGCAAGTGGTCACAAGTCTAAGTAACTAAGCATTGCACCTAGTATAATTTAGTATTACATCCATGGAGTCAGTTGGGAGGATAAGTCTAGATTTAGGCCATGTGGTCGTTGGTAGTACTCGCCAGTGAGGTGTATGAATCATACTAGGAAAGAAAAATTTAAAATAATACAATGATCAAATGGTGATAATTTAAACATACCAAATCTTTTGCATATATTGATGCACCATAATCCAATAATACTTCAACTATATCAGCATGGCACTGTTGTGCAGCCCAATGTAAAGCTGTCCAGTGATTCTAGCAAGTAAAAACGGAACAATAGTATAACTTGTGCATCATAAGTGGAAAAAACCATTGTTATTTTAAAAGTAATTTGCAAAAACACGGGGTTCGAAATATTTCGTCTTTTATAATCCATAACTATCATCATTCTATTATCACGCTGATGTATTGCCTTATCATATGACACATTCGTACTTAATAGTATGACTATTCGATTGAGAGCCATATGTAAGGCAGAACACGAGACTGTTACAACAAAAGCACAAAGAGAAAACGTACATATTGTTGTGTAGATATATGCAATGTAACAGATTTGTTTTTCTTCATCCACTGACTAATCACAAGTTACTTGAGATGAACAAATCACTTTTTTTTCTATTTTACAGTAAAAAGTATATTGTTTAGTGCCTTTGTAAACATTCATATCCGGACATTTTTTCTACAGTATTCATTCACGATATGCAGCGAGTCAGTGGGTAATTCAATTCGTATTCTGGATCGATTTGACAACTCACCAAAATAACGAATATATGTAGGATAAACGAAATGATTTAAAAAGTCTGAGTTCAGACATTTCGGTGTTAAAATGTTATTAGTTATGCAATAATGCATTCCAAATATAATTATATTGTCAGTCTACTTCTGTAATACTGCACAAGTAAATACTTAATGCTTGATGGCTTTCTCAATCTGTGCGATACAATGAATATGGTTTTCTTTACTTAGTTAGTAAGAAGAGAACGTAGAAACAATTTGACAAGTTTGTTTATACACTGTAAACCAGAAACTAATAATACATATAGATTTAGTGATTACAATAACATTGCTGAATATAAAGGGACGAATCACTCGATATGTCAAGGGTGAGTAATAAACGAGTGGCGCTTGTGCTGTTAGAGGTATGAAGGCAGTTTTCACTTCCCGGTTGCCCATACCGTGGAAGGGTTCTTCTGGAGGTACCTGAAAAGGAAATTGGATTAGAGTTGGCCTTAGTGACCTGCAAGCGTGACCACAGTACCCAACGGACAACTGCTCGAGGCCGGTCACACACGACCTTTTCGCTGAGTAGTTTTCGTGTTAGCAACTTACTTGTTGAGACCTTACCACCGGAGACGGAAATCCGTAGAATAAGATGAGGTATGCACTTTTAGGGTCGACCTTTTTTTAACCCTACCCTTCCTTGTGGGAAGACAGCATCGCTGTTATGCTAGTTGTATAAAGAAAACACCTTACTGCCGCCTCACCTCTGTACATTCAGCAGTAAGACTTCATCCTCGGACCTTGTGTTTGTTGCTTCTAATCTTACCACTCTTTATCCAACCTGTCTGACATGGTATGACCTTGAAGAACGATTGTTCCAACCGGTATAGCCCGACTGGTTCATCACGATAAGCAAACATGATCACTACGTAAAGGTATCAGCAACGGTAGGAAGGGCTGAAACTAAGCCCACTCTACTGTATATATTTCGTTATCTGAGTCATCCTGGGATCACCCAAAAACACACATGACTTGCAAGTATTATTACATGAATTTTCGATAGGATAGCTTCTAGAGTTACTTCATATAATTTTTTTGCATAGATGAACTAATCAAACGTTCACAGTACGAATAATAGCTGAACAAGACTGAGGACCATACAATATAGGTAGGAAACGAATTCATAAATCATTCGTTAAAATACTTTATTTAGTGACATATACAATAATGAAAGCATATCATTAATCATTTTTAATGTTCAGTAGTTTTTTAAGTAAAGTTGACTAATTTTAAAATGAAAAACATGAGATAAGGATTATGGAATTTTTAGAGAACAAATACTTTACGAATTATAGTTGTTACTTTATCAGTGACGGAGACATTAACGCCACGATCCAACAGTGCTTTGACAAGTTCCAAATGTCCATGATAACAGGCAAATAGAAGTGGGGTAAAGTCAGCCTGAAAATAAATTTAATCAAAATCATGTTTTCATTCTAAAATGAAATGTGTTCCTTGGATAAGTTCTCATTACGAAATGACATCAATTGAGGAACTCATCGACTAATAAACAATCATTTCGTCCTAATTTGTGACTTCTTAGCAATCCTCAGTCATAAATTCATACATATGCTAGAACTGAGAACTTTCAGGTCACAAATTAGAACGAAACAGCTGTTTAATACTTCATATCTTTCGATGGTTCTTTGGCTGATGTGACAGTTCATGATTAAAACTGAAGCTCATTTAGAGACACTTAACAAATGGTTTATTCCTTTCATTAAAATTATTAATTTACATTATAAAATTACTTACTTCTGAATCCAAATCATTTTGAGAACATGCTCTTAAACTCATATTATCCAAATCGATGGAAGTCCCACAATTATCGATTATAGTTTCATTTAAATTTAGATTGTCATCAATAGTAGTAGTAGTAGTACTAGTAGTAGTAGCAGTAATGGGATTAGGTTTGCAATCATTTATACTGACTAATGCTTCTCGTTTATATTTATTCATACATTGAAGAAGTAATTCGAAATTTTTAAGAATTCGAACAGAATCTTTAGACTTAGTTCGACATAATTCATGTAGTGGAATTCTTCCATTCTACAGAGTTGAAAACAAACAACCAGTTTAAAATAAAGTATGAAAAAGAATCTCAGGCGAGACTCTGATTTATGGACGACCTTTAAATGAATCTTAAGTGACCATGCGAATATTAGCCAATCAGCAAACAGTCAGTATAGAGTAAAAATATATTATACAAAACCAAGGAAATAAAGTGGATACACTTCTTATACGTGGTTCAAAAACCTGTCAAGGTAAGAAAGACGTTTAGAGGTTCTAAAATCGTAATGCATGCAGTGAAGGAAATCATCCATACGGCTACAGAACAGTCGGCATCTGGAGCCATGATAAAGTCTCAAAAACTCTTTCAGCCTCGACCACATAGTTTCAATATTGTTTATGTGCACTATGGTTGTTGAATACACAAAATGCCACTTGTGGGTAACGACACGATGCACATAAACAAGCCTATGTAGGAGTCTGTACGTTCTCCAAACATCCGTATATATTGCAGTACCTGGCTGCAACCAGTGTTGCTGGTGCTTTTTGTTGAGGTGATCCAGAAATTTTCGCGCAAAAGACAAATAAGGATCAGGAAACACTAAGAAGCATTTCATCTAATCAGCGTTTACTTGAAGTTTTAGCCAGAAACACCAAGGATGTGAAACGTCACATGTGGAGGTTCTGATTGGCTGATTACTTATGTTGCTACTATGTTTAGTAGCATTCCAGAATCTTCGAGCAACCCAAGGACATTTAAAATATTATAAAAGCCCTATATTTTCTGTATTAGAATGAACCTTGGAGTAAAGTACTTTTCACATACTTTTTGCCTTCTCTCTCGTGTTCAGGTCGCTGTATAGTTCTACCTTGGGGGTTACAAGAATAGCTTAGAAACCGAATATAGCGTTCAATTTCCAAGACTTATCACTTTTATTATCCAGTTCGCGATAATTGTTATAATTTGCCTTAGGAATTATATATGGTGCTTCCATCAAGAACTGACATAAGCTATAATGCCATAAATCTATTTAGCCAAATGAATGAAAGGCTTTCGCGTTAAAATCCGAGATCTGTTATCTTATACCAGATTGATTTGTTCACAAATTACAGTTTCGCCGTTTTATTTGTTATAGCCGCTCAATTATCACGTTTTGTACAAAATCCCCTGTAAACCGATCGTACGTCGGCATCAAGCACTGAAGTTGGAGCCGTAACCTAGAAATCTCTGAAACGCTTCTGATTGGCTCAACCATAAATTAGAGTCTCGCTGGACTTTATTAAGACGTTTAGAAATATTTCAATGACTGAGGATTATTCACTTTGTTTAAAACACAACTGCAACCAGAATTAAGATGACATATAGAAGTGGAGTTGTTCAGTTTATTATTGTTATTGTCATAATATAAATAGATGTTCATATGAAATAAAATTCCATAGATATTTACAAATGAATGTGGTTTTTAGGCATGTGCACAAATGGTTGGTTCAATTTTCAAAATAAAGGTTACTTAAAATAGGAATATTGATGAGCATTTTGATAAAGAATATCCATTTCTAAGTAAAATATAATCAAATGCTTATCCTGAAAATTAAAACGGATTGAATGTATATGAGGTCATAAGAACATAACGACTCAAACTACAATGTTGAAAATTAGTTATGTATAACTGATAATATACTAACTAAAGTGTATGGTTTAATTGATCCTGAATGTTGTTAAATGAATGAGTGCGGTTTTCATTTCCGGATTTCCCTTATCTTACTAAGAGTTCCAACCAATATAACAAAATTGGGTCACTAGGACAGGTAAGTCTGACTATCACATGACAGTAACAGCCACGTTTGAAGTGTTTTCATAATATGTACATTGCACAACTTGTAAAATGAAGTGCCAAAAAGTCAATCATGTGCACAAAATTGAATTAACTACCTTAAAACTATTATTAAGGCCAAGTTATATAGCTTTTGTAAGCACAGATGGATAGTGGCTAGCAGTGGAATCCAGGACGCGCGTTTCGTCCTATTTGGGACTCGTCAGCTGGATGTTATTGACATATGTGCATACTGATTGATCAATTGCAGTCTTAAACCTCAATGGGAAGATAAAAGCAAAACAATACCAAGTAAGTTATATAGCGTTTGGACACATCAACTCACACGTTCACCTCTCCAAAATAGTAACTAGGAGTGAAAATATTACAATTTCTACAAATCCCCATAGGAACTAAATCGTTTTACACGCAGAGTGATTTATTTATTTATTTTAACACATAAGTATAGGTACAGGGAGGCACTAAATACATATGCATCACATGAATCTCAATTGATTTGTGTGAGGGCTGTGATACTGCCCGGGTGCCCAAACCGAAGCAGGTGGTTTTCTTAGGGGGCCACACCCCGAGCCTTCGACCTGGAGATCTGATCCACAAGGCAGTGGAGCATCGTGAGGAGATGCAGTCCCACGGTAGCCGGTGACCAACGATTGGTTCATACGCCATTTGTTCCCGCAGGATAGTGGAGCCCATGTGCACCATTGGTTTGGGGTCCGGTTAAAGCGCCGGACATTCGCTTCTCGTCCTCTCATTTTTGTAAACAACACCCCCGCCACGAGAAGGCAGTGAGTAGGACTTCCCTAGCAGAGGCTATATACGCATGGCCATGTGAGAGCATTTCTAGAGGGAGAGCGGACTCTCCCCACTCTCGGCCGTACCAGGGCATTTGGGGGCACACGCAGAGTGAACCACGTCAGGACACTATATCTAAAAAAAAATTCATGTAAAACGATTTATATATTAGTAGACATTTGAGAGTGAGCTATGGAGCAGGTATCAAATAAATTAACTCAACTTGTTGAGTGAACTCTTTTAGTAATAAATAGAAACTGCAACATGAAATGAGAGAAAGGTTATCACTTTAACATTGCGTAATACCTTATTCTTCAGAAATGGACTTGAACCACTGGCCAATAGCATTTCAGCTATAGATGGATGATTCCAGTAGACAGCATTAAATAACGGTGTCCAACCATTTTTATTGACTATATCAACATTCACACCCGCAGATAAAAGCATTTGAGTATTTATTTCGTTGCCTGACATAGCAGCATGGTGTAAAGCTGTATTACCTCCCTAGAATATCAATTACAAAGTGAACGTATAAATACTTACGGAATCAAGTGCATTGACATCTGCTCCTGCTTGAATAACCATCTGTAGAATACTAGGTTTCCCTTGGGAGCAGACGTGTATAGGATAGCATTCGTACTAGACAAATAATATATTAAGAAGAAGCATACCACATAGGACCGCCAATTAACATCCACACCAGCTTCGATCAACCTCTTAGCAGCTCCTTCACGTCCAAAACTGCAAGCGATCCAGAATTGTTCCTGTTTAGATATATAACGCATAGTAAGAATTCTATGAACGTTGATTTTGATAAACCTCGGGTCAACATCTACTTAAAACAGCTCTCAGAAAAATTTGTAACCTATAAGGCAGTAAACACAAGGGCCAACATTATTTAAACTCGAGTAGAAAACGTTTTAAAATCTGAAAATAACTCATGTATATGGGAAAAAATATGGGGCAGTGATTGCTTTTATTCCTCAAGACAGGTTGTTTACAATACATGTTCCAGATTTATCACCTTTTATGTGAAATATACTGCTAAGTTATGTATATCGATCTGAACTCATAGAATTTTGGCTATCATGTCCAAAATCCAGAGATAAATTAATCACCAAGGTCAACGTCTAAAATTTGTGAAACATTCAATCATTGCAAATGTTCTTTTCAATAAATAAACGAGATTAAGAAGTAACTTTGATAAACATCTTTCACTGTTTGCGATTATTTGGAAATTAATATAATCTTTAGAGTGGTAGATTTAGAGCAATTAATTTAGAAATCATCAAGTCAAATTATTCAGTCTTCAAAATGAAATGAGGACAGTCGGTTACATACAAGTTAAAAGGATCGGATATGGTATGGCCGAGAGCGGGGAGGGTTCGCCCTCCCTCTCGAAATACTCTCACACGGCCACGCGTATACAGCCTCTGCCAGGGAAGTCCCACTCATTGCCTTCTCGTGGCGGGGGTGTTGTTTACAAAAATGAGAGGACGAAAAGCGAACGTCCGGCGCTATAACCGGATCCCAATTCTATGGTGCACATGGGCTCCAGTATCCTGCGGGAACAAATGGCGTATGAACCAAATTTTGGTCACCGGCTTCCATGGGACTGCATCTCCTCACGATGCTCCACTGCCTTGTGGACTAGACCTTTAGGTCAAAGGCTCGGGGTGTGGCCCCCTAAGAAAACCACCTGCTTCGGTCTGGGCACCCGGGCAGTATCCCAGCCCACTCACTAAAACTATGATGAACTATATGCTTATAGAAAGTATTCGTTTCTCTTCAACTAACATTGAAATGACTGGTATTATTATTATTATTATTGTTATTATTATTATTATTTACTACGTCATTTATTCACTATCTCCTATTTCTACTTTTTGTATCCGCTTCGACTCAGACAGCAGCTCGCCTATGGTGAAAATTCAGCTTTATCTAAACGTTCTCGAGTCACTGCCTGGTTGAAAATTGTATGTTACTACCGAATATGAGTACTGAAGCAGTTTTTCTGAAACCACGTGCACCATTCAAACTGGCTGCCTTCAACGTTCGCACACTTATGCAGGTCGGACAACAGATAGGGCTGGCTATGTCTTTGGAAAGTCTTAATATTGATGTGTGTTGTCTATCCGAGACCCGTATTCAAGACTCTGGTGAAGTACTACAAGTTCGCTCTCCATCTGTCACTTCAAAAAGCTTGTTTTATGTGCGTTTATCCGGGGACCCTGTGGCATCTTCGTCTGGTCTTGCTGGCGTTGGTGTCGCACTAAGCGCAAGAGCTGAGGCAGCACTAGTTGACTGGATCCCCATTAACAGTCGGTTATGTGCTGTTAGATTAGAAAGTTCCATCAAAGTGAGAAGAAATCGGCGTGAGAAACGATGTCTTTTCGTCATCTCCGCCTATGCCCCGACAGATTGCAGCCCGGATGCAACCAAGGACGAGTTCTACCATCAGCTAACTGTTCTTCTCCAGAAAGTGCGTTCGACAGATATTGTAGTACTAGCTGGAGACTTGAATGCTCAGGTCGGGCGTCTAGGTACAGAAGAGAGTCGTTTAGGTGGCCGATGGGGACTCGTTGGTCGCAGGACAGATAACGGGGAACGTCTACTGCAACTATGCACAGACCACAACCTGTTTCTGGCTAGCACTAACTTTCGGCACAGTCATCGCCGATGTGCCACCTGGCGTCCCCCTTCTGCATCTCAAGCCTGGACTCAGATTGATCACATCGCGATCAGCTACCGCTGGCGCGGTTTTGTACAAGACTGCCGCTCCTTTTGGAGTACCTATCTGGAATCTGATCATGCTCTGGTCTGCGCCAATCTTACCTTACTTTTCAGTGGACAACGAAGTGACCGCCACCAAAGGATTGATGTTAGCAAGCTGGCTGCAACTTCTGTTTCTAGTAAGTACCGAACCGAGCTAGCTTCCAGGCTAGCTAGCATTCCACCGAAAAGTATAGATGAGCATTGGTTGCAATTGCATGACGCCATGAAAATGGCGGGTACAGTCTGTTGTGGGTTTGCGAAACGTCCCGCTTACAAGCACTGGGTTTCTTCTGGTTCCTTACAACTGATTGAAGCCCGTCGGTCTACTCCGGGTGACCGTGAGTTTGACCACAGACGAAGGATGTTACGTAATGAAATCGGGCAAAGCTTGCGTAAGGACCGAGAAGCCTGGTGGTCGGAGCGTGCCAGTGAGTTGGAAGCAGCAGCTGCATCTGGTAATTACCGGAAGCTCTTCCAACTCATCCGAGCCACTGGCAGCAAGAAGTTTGGTGTGAGCGAAACAATCTGCGAGGATGACGGAACGCCAATCACTAACATCCATCGACGTCTTGGACGATGGGCAGAATTCTTTGAAGGGCAGTTCAACTGGCCTGCTGCTCCGGCAACATCGGTCAGACTGTCCTGCCCTCCATGGCCGGTGACGACTGATCCACCAAATGAGGCGGAAGTCCGCAAGGAACTCCAACTCTTGAAACGTTACAAATCACCGGGCCCAGATGACTTACCTCCGGCTCTTTTTAAAGATGGTGGTGACTTTCTGACTAAGGGACTGACGACGTTGTTTACAAAGATCTGGGAACTAGAGAGTGTACCAAAGTCATGGAATGAGTCGATAGTTGTCCCTATCTTTAAAAAGGGTTCACGTTGTTCCTGTAACAACTATCGGGGGATAAGTCTACTTCCGATTGCGTCCAAGCTATTGGCTTCCGTCATACTTCGTAGGTTGTTCAGAACCCGAGAAAGATTGACTCGCGAGGAGCAGGCTGGGTTTCGTTCTGGTCGAGGATGTATTGATCATATCTTCACCCTCCGCCAAGTGTTAGAACACCGCCATACTTATCAAAGGCCAACAATCGTAGTGTTTCTTGATATCAGGGCCGCCTTCGATTCGTTGGACAGAACTGTTCTCTGGGATTGTCTATTGAAGAAGGGTGTGCCTGAGAAGTTTATTAACATCCTAAAAGCCCTATACACAAACACCTCAGGCAGAGTGAGGGCATACAACCACCTTTCTCCACTATTCCATCCGAGCAGTGGGGTTAGGCAGGGTTGCCCAATCTCACCATTCCTCTTCAACTTTGCCATCGATGACATTCTGGAAACAGCTCTGACGGATGTAAGTAATGGTGGTGTGGATCTGTTGCCTGGAGAAAGACTTCTCGACCTTGAGTATGCGGATGATATTGTCTTACTGTGCGAGAATGCCCAAGCTGTGCAATGCGCACTTAATCAGTTGGCAATCGGTGTCCGTAGGTATGGTATGTGCTTTGCACCTTCGAAGTGCAAAGTTCTTCTACAAGACTGGCAGGATTCTAATCCTGTACTCACTCTGGGTGGTGAGCAGATAGAAGTAGTCGAGAAGTTCGTGTATCTAGGTAGCTGCATAAGTGCTGGTGGTGGCATGAGTGATGAGATCAATGCACGTATAGTGAAAGCCAGAGCGGCTTATGCCAATCTGGGCCATCTTTGGCGCCTTCGTGATGTTAGTCTGGCTGTAAAAGGTCGGATCTACAACGCGTCGGTGAGAGCAGTTTTGCTCTATGCTTGTGAAACCTGGCCTCTCCGAGTTGAGGATGTTAGACGACTCTCTGTGTTCGATCATCGTTGTCTCCGAAGGATTGCTGGCATCCAGTGGCAACACCATGTCAGTAATGCAGAGGTTCGGCATCGAGTGTTCGGTCACAGAGACGATAATGAAATTGGTGTCACCATCTTGAAACACCGACTTCGGTGGCTTGGACATGTTCTACGAATGTCGTCCCAGAGAATTCCTCATCGTGCATTATTTGCCGTCTCTGGGACTGGTTGGAAAAAGCGGAGAGGTGGTCAGTATATGACATGGTGTCGTGGTATGAAAGAAAGCTGCAAAGGGCTAGCTTCTGTTGGTCCTTCACGACTCCAAGGTTGGGGTCCGAAAGACGGTGTAACGCAGTGGCTAGAGACGTTATCAGATATGGCTCAGAATAGAAGCCAGTGGCGATCGTGCTGTAACCTTCTTTTACTTTCTTCATAAAAAGTGGTTGTATCTTCCTTAACTGAAAGATCTCTTCTGATTGTACCTTTCCGTTTCCCCCACCACTGTTCTCTCTCTCTCCCTTTTTTTTATAATTCCCCACGTTCATTCTTTTTTTTCTCTTTTCTCCTTCTCTTCAAATTATCATTGTTTTGTGTGGCGCATATATATTTGGTGCCCCCCTGTACCAATATTTATGTGTTCAAATAAAATAAATAAATAAAATAAATATTAGTTTAAAAAACGAGAGTACAATATGAGAACTAAGCGACTATAATAATTATTACTGTGATAATATAGTGTGGTGACTCAAAATAAAACATAACTGTGTTAAGTTCTAGGACCATTGTGACTGACGATTCATCTCAAAACACTATTCATTGAAGTTATAAAGGCGTTGTTCAGGAGAAGGCTCTGTGATGAATAATTGATTTAAGTATAGAAAGGTTTATATTTTTCATGTTATTTGTTTATATTTGTGATATGCTCATATAAGAAATGATTTTACGGAGTTTTAAACTCAAAGTCCTTTACTCTTAGTAAGTGTTTTAGTCGAATTAAGTTAAATACCAATTTCTGTTGCAAATAAGACGCGGAAATTATGGATTTGAAGATCTTTGGAAAATCTAATCGATACATCCAAATAGGAAGATGAAAATAAACTGTTTTTGGAGAATTATATTTAAAAACAACGATCAATCAGTCAGCCAGCTGCAACGTAGGACCAAGCACACATATGCATCAGTCCAAGTTGCCATAAATCATTACCACAACAACATAAACACCGAATTCATAGTAGTCATTTCAATGCCCCCAAACGCCCTGGTACGGCCGAG